GGAAAAAAAAAAAAAAAAAAAAAAAAAAAAAAAAAAAAAAAAAAAGCACTAGTAAAAGAAAAATATAAAGGGAATATAAAATAAACTCAAATCAGGGAGCTCAAATGGAGAAAATTGACAGGAGTTTTTTGAAACTTTGAGACGTGTTATTTGTCTATATTCTACATTTCATTATTATCTTTTGTTAATCAAGCAGGCTATCTATGGACGATAGAGTGTTCTGAACTCTTAGTTTCATTGGTGTGCCCCTAGATGGAGGCTGGGGCTTCTTTCCTTTCAGACATTGGTGCTAAGGTGATGCATGCCAGAGAGTCAGTGGGACCTGCACACCATGAGGCCATTTCAAGAAGGCTGAGCTGAGGGTCAAGAAAGAAGAAAAGATATGGAGTCTCCTGGATTCTGGGGTGGAAACACTGAAATTTAGACCTACAATTTGACATGACAATATAGCTTTTTGTGGTTGTTGACATTAATAAAAACAAGAAAAATTATTTGCTCAAAATTTGAAAAAATGGATTAGTAAACTCTTTCATTAGAGTAAGGCAAAAGAACTTATTTAAATAGAGGTGAATTGAAAATGTCAATAAGAATCCATGGACATTTTTTTTAAAGAAGGCTTTACCTGCTCTGTCCTTCCAATGATATATGCTGTTGAATATTTTTGCTGCCATCCTGCCAAATTCCGATAGGAATGTGGAACAGCTTATTTGTAGATCTAGTGCCTGTGGCTTCTAAAATGATTCTCTGAAAAAAGGAACCAGTGTCCCTTGGTAGGATAGTTGATTTCATATCTCAGGGCAGAGAAAATAACCAGAATTAGTTTGTGAATTCTAGATGTTGAAAGAAAGCAAAGTTGTGTTAGGGCATCAGAGAGTTGTAAGTTCACATGTTGCAAAAAACAAGATAAAATAGAATTGCCTAAAAAACACACCTGCATTTCTGAAGTTGTTTACTGAAAAGGCTGAATATTGATTAACCCAAATTATGTGACGTGTATGCTTAAGTTTTTATAACCAACAGTTTGAATATGCAAGGTGTTGTTCTTTCTACAAGAAGACAAACCTGTAACAAAACACAGTCAGAAGGGGGTATTACAGGACATAGCCACAATTCCAAAATTCTCTGTGAAATGTGGTTTATTTGCCAGAAAGGGAGGCAAGCAGATTGGAGAGAATCAGTTCTGGTGATGCTAGAGATGACCTGTAAGAGTTGTTCCTGTTTTCTCCCCAGGAGTAAACTACAAGCCTTCTGCATGCTCCCAGCAGCAGAAAGCCACGTTGAGGTTTATCAGCCACCCGTGTATGGGCACTATTGCAAGTTCTGTTCTGTTGTTTACGGCCATTTATCCAACAATGATTTACTCTATTCAGGGGCTCTCCACCCTCATCCTATACTAGTTTTTATTACCATGTGTCTGTACACTTCACATGACAAATTGGAACCAGTTTCTCTACCCTCAGTAGAGATCACTGTGACTCAGTGTAAGGGGAGAAAATCTTACAGATGTCAGGAAATGTTAAGTGGACAATGACAAACAGAAAACATTGAGAGGGCAACATCGAATAGAAAAAAAACTATGTTGGTGAAGGAGAAGTATCAAAACTAGTTTAAAAAGTAATAGGAGAAAGATAACGAGGAAATGTACCATAAAATTGTAAATTTTAACGGAGCTTCTCCTAAGGAGATTTTAAAATTAAGGAAATATAAGAAGTACGAGAAGAAACAGAAAGTAAAATGATAAACAGTAGGTTTGACTATAAATATCTGAGGGAAAACATGCTTGCAATAAAAACCAAAAGTATAAAAATCGAGTGGAAATACAAGTTAATATAATGCCAGTTGATATCTATAAGAACTAAATGTGTGATAAAACAAATGAAAAAATAGTCAGTTTAACACCAATTGGTGCCCATAATAACATCTGGTTCTTTGCAAAAATCCATATTTTAGACACATACTATGGCTTGCCCAAAATTGGAAGAAAACCAACTAACAACAGGTTTTCATCAGCGCATGATAGCACGGTGCCAAACATATGCAACTAGGATCTCAAACCACTTTCTCCAAAGGAGGTGGCAGAGGAGGCATGATTTGGGCAAGAAATGAGCAACACGGAGGGACCATACAGTGGATGGCATGATGGAGTTATTGGGTGGAAACTGAGTGGGATCAAGGGAGAAACAAAGAAAGGAGGGTTTTGGTGTTCTATAAATACATGCATCCTGAGTGAGTGTTAGGGAGATCTGAGCACTGCTGTGGTCAGTGTCAGTCACCCAAGATTAGCAGACTTGTCTTGCTCAGTCTCCTCTGCTTCTCTCCTATGAGTGTTACTGCGAGAACTCACCCTGGGGGCTTGTGAGTTGAAATTCAGTTTATAGCAATCAAGATAAACTGTTCTCCTTGCTCCTAACATCTATAAAGGAAAGGTGAGACCCTTGGAGAGAGGGTAAAAAGGGAGGCTGTCAACAAAGGAGCACCCTCCTTTATTGGCTCTTCAAATTACTGAAAATAATTTGTGGGGATTTGGGAGATCCTGCTCTGGACACGGTTGAAAACCTGTGGCTTGGATGTATGTAAAAAAAAAAAAATCCAGGAGGCTGTATCTCTAGCTCTTCAGTAAGCAGGATAAATGGGCCTTGCTGAGGCTTTGCAGGTGGTGAATGTCAACTTAAGAAGAAGAAAGTGTGGACTTAATTATTGGGGAAGGCTGGTTTGTCAGCCCCATTGTGAACACCCAGAAAAAACTTAGGGGTGTTTTGAAGAGTTCAAATTCCTTCCTTCACAGGTTGGGGACTTGAAGTCATTTGTGGAGCATAAGTGTAAATGTTATCTAATTTCTACAGTCACAGGCTGGGGAGTGCACAGTCAAAATAACATTCCACATACAATGTACTCCTGTCTACTACTCACTCTTCTACTTCTCTTGCTTTGCCTCCTTACTCAGACTTGGTGGATTCTATCATGTAATGTTTGCTGTTGTCCTGCTTCTTTCTGGCTCTTGCCATCACTATCTGAACTTTGGGTAGCCCAATCCTGCTTTCCCCTAAGTCTCAGGCAGTGGCTTCTTCTGGATGCCGAGAATCTGGACCATCTCCTGCTAGAAGCTTTGCTACTCTAACTAAATTCTAGTACCTACGTGACTCTATCCCAAAATACAAGGGTACCTCAAAAAGCTTGTGGAAAAATAGAATTGAAAGAAATACGAATTTTTCCATGAGCTTTTGAAGTAACCCTATATAAGCACACCATATTCGTTCTCTCTCATCATGTGGTCAATCTGTCTCTGTTCTCTTATATACCGAAAAGCATTTTTTTCTGAATTAATTGTTCACTAACTTTATACAGAGTGTATTCCATAGTTTCTCATAAGAGCTGGTGAAATTTTGGAGTCAGAAATGTCCCCACGCACAGTCATTATCTGCGTCTTTAAGACAGTGAAGGCTTAAAACGACTTCTTAGAATCACAGAGCTGTTGAACAAGTACAGACATTAGAGTTTAGATAGCCCAATGTGTCATAACTTATAGGTGAAGAAACTGAGTCCCAGAGAGGGTAAATAACTTGCCCTGAGTCTTTCAGAGAAGCCGCACTAGAAGCCACACTTCTGGACACGGTGTTCAGAACATTTTGCATCGTTAAAAACAGTTCAGTAAATTAGATCATTCTGGGTGCTGGAAGCCTCACTTCCTGACTCAGTGTTCAGGACACTTTCTATCAAGAACAATTTAGTAAGTTACATCACTTTGAAGGCTGTGGATAGATCTGAGTGGGGAGAGACTGGCAGAAAAAACATTTAGGAGGCTGTTGTAAAAGTCCAGGAAGGAGTAGATGAGGGAATGGAGGCTAATTGTCAATAGAGTAGGAATTCATCTGCTGGATTTAGAATTAATTTCCTCACCTGCAAATGATACAAAGACCCATCTGTCCCATCCCTCTACTTCCTGGGGACCAGACATTCCACACTGAGGTAACACTGTGGGTGGTTACACAGAAGAGGTCTCCAAGTGGCTCAGCATGGATGGAGTGTGTGGAGGCAGAGTCGGAGATAAGACCACTTCCATGAATTGGATTTCCTTGTAAAGTCTGGGATAGATGCTCCTTGTACCTAAGAGCTGAGCCTGTGGTAAAGTTCCAGAGGAGGATCCAACACAGAGTGGAACTATTGGAAAGCCTGGTGCCAAAGAGGGTGCAAACACAGCCACCCCTGGGTTCAGTCTGTGAACGAGGAGACATAACGTGGGGCAGTGGAGATCCATGACAGAGGCCATTAGGACACCTGCAGCAGGGAGGAGATGGTGTCCCAAACTGTGGCTGAGAGCAGCCCTTCTGGGAACAGTGGATAATGCTGGGGAAATGGGAGACAAGAACTCAGGGGGCAGCCCCGAGAACACGATGGCTCAGAGGGTGGCCCAGCTGGCTGGAGCCTACAATCATTCACAGGCTCTTATTAGCACTTTACAGCACCAGAACCAACTCACCACACTTGAACATTGCTAAGTGTTTAATCACAACCAACAGTGCTTCCAAGTGTGGTTCTTGGAATAAACCGAGTTGTTCCCATGCCCAGCCCAGCCACTTGCCCATCAGCACAGATCATATAAACA